AACAGCTAGACAAATACAGAGATACCATATATACAGAGAGACAATAAGGAGTAATTGCACAGTTATTTGTGTTGCAATAATCTCTAATCAGATTGACATGACTATATGTGAAACCATTATGGTGAACATAATATACAAACTAAAAATTTTAATAAACAGATATGAAGTCAAAACAAAAAAAGTAAAAATGAAAAGCACGAGAAACACCGCATACCTGCTTAAAATGCCCATGAACCAAAGCAATTGTCCACATAGTGTTCTTGCATCTCGATCGGATTGCCTGTGTTAGAAAAGCATTCCACACAAATATGTCCTCATATGGCATCCCTTCCTCACCCACTGACAAGACATTCTTTTGCAAACTTTGCATTATAGGATATGTATGACTATAGAAAAAATCTTTTGTCAAATCGACACTAGATAAAAGCTTCTTGTACCTGCAATTAGGAAAATGTACTAAATAAAAAACTGACATGAAAGTTCAAAAATTACTGAAACCATCAGGAGACCATGAACAATCCAGATTCAGATGGCATGCATACTTCTAAATGAATTGCACACAAAACCACAAGCAACAACATCATTTCTGAACTTTTTCCCTTAATAAGCACAGATGATCAATAAGGCACCATAAACATGACCGTAACCAGTGCACACATGAAGTCTACAAGAGTCATCAAGCAAAATATCACACAAGAAAATAAGTAACAGAGGAAGCCCCACACCCTGTTATACAACCTTCTGCTCCTCTACTTCTATATATACAACAAAACAACAGAACACCATACAAATGTCCAACTCTCCACCAAATGCAACCCCTTGCCAGCTGTCAAACAAATCTCCAACTGGCCATGGCATAATCCACTAAATCCTTTGCAAGCAACAATTTCCAAAATTTTGTTTCAGTGGATCGTTCTGATTAGCTCGAAAATAGAAATGTTTCAGAATTGTTTTGAAAATACTATGGAGACAAAAAAAATTAGGATCTCGATTCCAACGCATTGGCCAAAACATTTTTTTTTTATAAAGGATATAAAACTCTTTTGATGATAAAAAATTTGAAAGTGTTTTAGTATAAATATTGGAGTTACACCATCTCCAAAAGTTTAAATTGTTTGAGTAAATGGTTGTTTAACATAGTATCAGAGCAGAAAGTCCTCTATTCAAATCTTGCCATCACCGTGATTATTAAAAAGATTTTCCCGTGTAAGCCCAAAATTGAGCCTTTTCACATGGGAGGACGTATTGAAATATAAATATTTAAGTTGCACACTCCAAATATAGTAGATGGTTGTTTAACAGAAAGTGCATCAACAAAGGTTGGATTAGGTATCCAACCTAGAGAAATAAAATAAGAAAGGGAAAGTCCAGAAAAAGCGTATAAGTCAATAGTGACCCTCCGTCCTTGATCCAAAAAAAAAAAATTGTGACTCTCCATCCATCTACAATAATAAAAAGGCGAAATTTCGTTAAAATCCGCAAAAACTAAAGCCCCAAATGAGGCTAGAAATGAATGTGGTCTCGTAAAACTTCCATTCACTCACTTCAATCTTCAACAAACTTTCTTTTCAAATAACCCAGAAAGATAGCAGTAACAAAACAATTCCAAAGAGCCACACCTTTATCAAGCCTCCCAAGTCCTTTCAACTCTTCAACAAACAAAGAGGTGGGTGACACTGGAATCCCCCAACTCAAATGACGTCTGAAGAATTTGTACCACAAGGACAAAGCAAAAGAATAATGCAAAAAATAGACTATCAATGCTATCAGAAGCACCTTTGCAAATCACACCCCACTTAAGAGAAACATAAGTATGAGACATTCTTTTCTGAAGATATCATTAGTATTAATATTATCATGTCCGGCGATCTATTCAAACTTGCACCTTAATAGCCACTTTATCCTTCCCCATTATCTAAGTTGGGATAGAGATAGGACATGAAGAATCATACATTAAAGAATCAAAGAAGGCTTTGCTAGAGAAGACACTCAAAGTCTCAAAACTCCACCACCTTCATTTCACACATAACTCTTGATTCAACAAAGAACCATCAAACGCATAACTCTTGATTCAACGGAGAACCATCAAGAATAGAAATACTCTGATCATAGAAGCAATGGATTCACAATGAAAGCAAGACAAATGATATAGACATGGAAACAAAGATGATAAGGATCACTCCCCCACCCGCACATGGGCCTAAACATTTTGAAACATTCTAAAACGATAAAATTTTGCTTTTCCATCACTGATCAATTTTGACTTCCGTCAAAAATAACTATGAATCATTGACAAGTAAGTGTCCAACTCCCCAGCAACCTGATAATGCAACAAGATAGGAAAAGCACTCTTCTTCAACCGTTTATACATTCAATATAGTTTTGGTCAATAGTTGACCAATCCTTTTCCAAATAGCAAAGAATCAGATTAGCTTCCAAAGCCATTGTCGAACCTAAAAGATGCGACTTCAAGGGGTGCCTTGATCTAACAAACTTCTCCCAATGGAAGGAGAAAAGCCACAAAGCATCTTCTCCACAAGGCACCTTATAAAACAAGATAAACAAGCATTTCTGCCACCCTCCAAAGCATCAGCTCCACCTCTCCTGGGACATGATAATTGCACAGCAAAACCAATGTGGAGTCCACATTCTATTTCCCAAACCTTTGAAAGAAACCAAAAAAGAAATCTAGAGAATATTCCATCTCATAAATCCAGCTGATTAAAGAGACATGATCTGCTACAGAGGCTTCCTCATTCATGCTATATGAATAGAGGTTTAGTTAGACTCTTCTAGGCTAAGGTGCCCACACTATATATCATACCAGAACTGGATGCTCAGACCACTCGCCACTACACTGATGCTTTTGGAGAATTTCCCTAATCTCTTAAGACACTCTTTTCTAAAGGCCAACCCCACTTGATGGAAATATCAAAGCTCCATGAAATCCCACTCATCCCAAGCACTGCAAGCTTCCCTCCACCAACCTGTTTTAAAAGATTTCCTTACTCAAAAGACAAAAATAAATATTCGAAAACACTTTCCAAAAGACCCCAACTAAAACTTATGTCTTAAGCTACCCAAGAAGTCTCTCTCAAGATTTTCAATCTTTTTCCAACTGATGATATCAATATACAATGAACAGTAAAATGAACGGATATTTCTAAGGGTAAGACCGTAAGACTCTTGACTTTTTTAGAAACACTGCCTATTCACCAACCAGCATCCTTTCAAACCTCTTCATAACAAAACCCCATATCCACTTTATCCTTTTCTTCTTTTTCAGTTCTAAGTAGCAGCTAGCCCAGGTTACTACCCTTCCAAAGTTGTTGCCACCAAATTTGCTATCAGGAGTATAATGAGTTCTGTAGCACGCTGTTCTAGTGATTTTGATTCTCTGTCCTGTTTTGCACCTTTCTTTGCCTTCTTTCATTGTGCTTCATGTGTTACATTTGCATTATATCATCATAAGTCTACATATATATACACACACACACAGGGTGAGGCTCGGTTTGGGACTTGACAGCTGTTGCTATAAAGCAGTTGGATTCTCTTTGCTCTGAATGACAAACCAAGAGGTTGGCCGAATGGGAAGCAGGCAGATAGTAAGACTTGAATCCAAAGTCAGAAGCCAAATCAGGTCCCCATCTCATGCTTGAATATCTACCAAGCATGATCGGCCCATAGGCAAGGCAATTGAGGTGTTCGCCTAGGGCCCCAAAAAATCAGGGGCCCCTACTGGTAAAAATGAAGGCCCAAAAATATTTACTATGTAGTGTGGTTTGACCTCACAAATTTGAGGACCCAATAAACAGTTAATGGAATTGCTTGTCTTATGGGTCAAAAAAATTGGAGTCAAAAGGCCAAAAAAAACATCATATCCAGAGTAGTCACTGTTCCCATCATTTCTCTCTCTCTTCATTAATGATATATTCTCAAGCTTGTCAAAAACTCTGGTGTCTAGAAGTCTAACAAATCAAGCTCTCTCTCTCTCTCTATCCATTAATGGAATAGTATATAGCTGCCAGAAACTCCGTACAAAGCGAAACAAGAAATATAACACTGCCAAACCCCCCCCCCCAAAATTTAATGCCATAAAAATCAACAGCATATATTATTTATACAAATAAGGAAAAACCCTACAACTCTATGGGTCTCATCTCCCCCTTGGTCTCTCCATGTAGTAATACTGTTTCTTCCATTTTTTGTCTCTATCAAATCTTGATATTGAACCAATTGCAAAAATTATTGCTTTCTTCCTTTAGTTGATGTACATTGCTTATTTTATATTTCAGTTGATGTGATTTAATTAATTCAAGTTTTTATTATATTTTGAAGATTAGGACCATTACATGATTTGGAAGACAAAAAATGCTCAAATAGAAAATATGACTTTAGATACAGAAAATGTAAAAACAAAAAAGAAAAATAGATGATATCCATTACAATTTTTCTGCAAAAGAAGTATTTCAAAATTAAAACTCATCAATCATACTTATGATCAACTGTATCACAACAAAAATTGTGGATTGTCCATATTATCAGTTGAAAGAATTTATTAGCAAAACTTAAGTAGATAGATCAAGTTCTAAAAGGCCCCAACTAAAATTTACGGCTAGGCCCCAATATCTGATTGGCCGGCCTAGCTACTCCGGCTTCCCAACTTTCACCTTAAATCCTTTCAAAACACTTCTTTTTTTTCACAAGCACTCAAAATCTCAATAGAACCTCGAGCATCCGTGAAACAAAAATCTCATTTCAGTGGGCAAATCAAAGTGAATCAGTGATTGAATATCGAAATTCATATATTTTGAGGTATTTCAAGATGTTTCAACATATTTCAATACATTAGATCTATATTTTGAAAACAAGTTTCTAAATTTTCCTCTGTTTCCATCCTACTCCTAACATATTCCAAAACGTTTCCGTTTCCGAATTGACCGAAACTATGCCGAAATGAAATTTGGACCCTTGCCTCCCATCCACTAAAGCTAATGGTTTTACCAGGATGATACCACCGTCCCAGCAGCATCCTCCATATACGGCTCAAAGCCTCCATGTATCGAAAGGCAAACGAACAAGCAATCCCCTGTTTCTAACCTCATGAACTCAAAGACTTCCAAGAAACCATTCTTCAAGATGGAAAATGAACATAATGAAATTCATTTTTTCTCCCCAACACTGAGTCAAAATTTTTCCTTTCAGCATACCTCTTATATCTAGGATCAACATTATCAAAGTGCATCAACCTCCATCCATAATCCGCCTATCTCTTCCAAAAACATTTTAAGGCTTGAAACTAACCCGCCCACTCCTTTCTTAATCTAAGAGTCATTTCCTTCACCAACTATATTTAAACTTTATACCAGGCTAAAACGAGAAATCCTTAATCTATCTCAACAACTCCTACATCATGCTTCAAAATAATGAGAAAAGGCACTCCATCTCCTCTCAACATCATCATCACCAAGAAGAACAGGAAATGCAAATCAAACTACCCTTAACCATAGATTAAGATTCGTGAGGAAAAAAAACATTGTCACAAAATTTGACTTGGAGCTTATCTCCATTGCCAATTATCAAAGCTTGCAACACCTTATCAAGAGTCTCCAACCACACCAATGGTTCAAGGACACAATATCAGCTATCAATTGGGAGCACAGTGATACACATTAGTCACCACGTCGTGGAAGGGTATGATACGTACAAAATGCTATATAGAACAAGAACCTGAAAAGTGAAAGATTCATGCCATGTCACAGCATCACAGAACAATACCACGACATCGCGGAACGATATCGAAACACCACAGAATGATGACTCGAACGACTCGGCCAAGATGTCTCTCAGTCAACCACAAGTCAAATGAGCTATGTGTTTAAAGTATCGACTCATATCTCAATTAAAGGTTGGCCTACAAAAAGATTTTGATCGCCAATCCTCGTAAAACTACACAAAATTTTATTACATGGTTGGGGGATGACGAATAGCAGATATCATGAGAATATCTTTTAGCAATTATGGACTCAAAAGTACTTCTAAAATGTGAGCAAAGATAGAGGAATGGGCCTATCTCTCTCAGATTTTAAATGATTAGCCTTCAAAACACTTTCATAAGTGTGAGATTCAGATTCCAATATAATATCTCCTCTATCATCCATCTTATTAACTACTTCAAATTATTCATCCATATAACTTATGATGTTGGTGCTAAGGAGTCCAACTAGACAACATAATACCTATTTCACCCAGTGAGCACCCTCCATTTAGGCGGGTGAAGTTGTAGCATGAACACCCTTACCTTGTTGCAATGGTGAAGATGAATTACAAGAATGCGGAAAGGAAAAAAGCAATTTGAGTTTGTATAATAGCTCAAACTTTTAAACTAAAACAAATAAAATCCAAAGGTTATATAGTATAATTTATGTGGAACAATTGGATCTCATACAGAAGAAAGGTCATTTAAACCATGAAGATGCTTAAGAACAAACTAGACTTGAATTTTACATGAAAAGTTTTGATTTTCTGGGCTTGTACTTGTTCTAAGGGTCCCTGATAAACAAATTTTGCCCAGGTAGCCTGTAACCTTATGTTCAAAATCAGCTAAAAATTGCAAAACTATGACAATATTACAACTTGCTATTACATATCATAGTAATGACAACAAAAGCGATGGATGATTAACGTGTCCAAGTTAGCTAATCCCCTGGAAATAAGGAATAGAATCTAGTAAGTTCCAAATTGTAAGATCTTGTCTAGAATCTAGACAATTTTTTAAGCACACTCTATTTAAATCCTCACATGTTCATCATTTTTAAGGACCTCAACAAAATTGCCATTGCCCAATTTAACAGTGTAAAACGAAATAAAAAAATACCTAAAAAATAAAAAAATTGTATTGTATTAGCTTTAGGTTTAATTAAACTTTCCAGACTCAGTCTACAACAATTCTTCTTTGGTAAAACCTTAGGCCCTGTTTGGTTTGCATCTTAAAAAACATTATCTGAAAATAATTTTTAGGAAGAGTTTTAAAAAAATGTGTTTTAATATTTTTTGTGCCTTAGAACTTGTTTAGTTATATGATTTCAAAAACAGTTCTAAGGAACAGAAAACAATAAAACTTGTTTGGACAATAACCCAAAAAATAATGAAAACAGTAACCCGAATAACCAAAAGAAGCTTGGTTCAAATCATATTATACCCAACTTTAATTTCTTCTCAATTAACCAAATAAAATACCAAAAAATGTTTCTCAATCATCACATATCTAATTTTTTTCAATTCACCACAAATCTGATTTTTTTCTTCTCAATTCATCACTGATCTAGTTTCAATTCATTAGTTTCTTCTCAATTCGTCACAGATCTTTTTTTTTTTAGTTTTTTGTCAGATCCCAAGAACACAGACACAATACCAAAATAATAATAAATAACCAAAAAAAATTGGTACCCAATTCTATTAAAACCAAATCTGGTTTTACAGATTTTTTAAAACCAAATATGGTTTTGCAGATCTTGTAAAAATCAGATCCGTAAAGCTCATACAGATTCTTATGAGAGAGAGAGAAGGCGACAGCCGTTCGTTGTCGACCTTCGGCCTTCGTCGGTACTGTGAAGAAGGAGAAGGAGAAAGCAAACGGTGTCTTCGTCCGTGCTCTGAAGAAGGAGAAGGCGACATGCGTTCGTTGATTTGGGGAGGAGAAAAATTGGGGGGTTTTAGGCTTTATATAATAAAGGTATATTTTGTAGCCAAGGAGATTCGATGTTTAATTGGACTTGCGTTTTGCCGTTTCCCGTGTTTTCCAAATTTGTTCTCAAATTTGGCCAAAACACCCCCCACTTGTTTTCTAAAACTCTATCTCAACTCCTACTTTTGTTTTTGAAAATTAGACATTGAAAAACTTAAACAAACAAATTTTCCTTATTTTTTGTGTTTTGAGAACAAAAAAATGTTTTGTACACACAAACCAAATAGACCATTAATTGTTGTCAATCCCATCCTCCAACTTTCATAAAGCCAATGACTTTAATTAAAACAAATTGAAAAAAATGACAATTTCAACAACCATTATTGATTGGACTCAACCAATCAATTACTTTCTTTTTTGATAAGAACCAATTAGTAGCTTTTATCACTTGACTTAAAATGCCACATGTCATCAAAATTTTGACAACCACTACTTATACAAATGAAATAGTGTACTGAACTCATACTTTATGAAAAGTAAAAGATAAAATTGACAAAAAAAAAAGGGGGTTAAGGACCAAAGTCAGAACCGGGAACTTTGGAGATGAAAAATGCAACAGTGTTTTGTTAGAGTTAATAACAAAAAAACATAGAACCATAATGTGTTTCTTGGAAAACGGGGAAATGACCAAAATGCAACGACTAGGACTGGCATAGATAAGAAAAGAAATATTGTTCAACATGCAGTACTAAAATTGTACAAGCAGATGTCAAGTTCACACTCATGGTAATGCTACCAGATCTCGTAAAAGGGCTACCATCTCTAAGTACCTCTGACTGAAGCACCTTAGCTACACAAATATTTCGAATTTCACCTGTAAATGGAGTTATATGTTTATACGTATAGACAAAAAGATAACAAATGTGCATTACTCCTTGAATACGAGAAATTTCTTTGCTACTACTTACACATAGACATTATTTGGCCCCATAGGCAATTATTCTTGACGTGTGAACTTAACAAAACTCAAAGAGTGATCAAGAAAAAAGGGAAATGCTAGAACGCATGACTTAAGTTTTCAAACCACAAATTTAAGCATACACAGATTTTACAATCCAAGGAAAAAAGAAAGATATTACCTCAGCTCAGTTTTCGAATGAGCAACATCAGTTTGAACAGAGACATGCGGAATTGTAATTATTTGGCTCTCATCAATACAATATATAGCATGACCACATATACTTCCGATTTGCCTCCGTTTTGTTACCAATATCAAATAATATGACTCCAAAAAATTGATACAACCTGAAACATTCAGAAGAAAAAAAAAAAAAGAAACAATGAAACCTACGTCAGACTTTAAACCCAGTTCCAATAACTTCTTTTCACATCTCAAAGTGCCCAATTGAGCAAAGATGTGCACTAAAATGGCCAGACACAATTCCAATGAAACCCAAGATATATAATCCCCTAACTGAACAAAAACAAAGACAAAAATTCCTCAATCCGAAATATAAAATGTAACCCAAAAGGCAATCAAACATAATTCCAACAAGAACCCAAAAATGCCAAGCCCCAATTCGCATAAATGCAAATGACATAATTCCTCTAGAAACTGTAGAATATAACTTATAAGTAACCCAAGTAACCGTCAATTTAGAAAAACTAACCAGCAATGCCATAGACTTTTGCTATAAAATTCAGCCCTCCAGTAGCTCTATTACCCTCGGCCACCCTCTGCAGCAAGCTCTTGACTTCCTGCGGCAAATACACCACGGGGTCTTCGCTGATATTGAGATCAGATGGTTCCATTCGGTCAATTTTTAACACTCTGAAGAACCTTTTGTTCCGATCACTCCCAATTAAGTAATACCGCTTCACACACAAACTCAAAATTAGATCAATTCACCCTAGGAATCAATAGATATAGTGATTTCTCGGTTTGCCATGGGTTAAGGGAAAAACAACAATTTTTTTGGTCCTCTAAACATCATAAAGAACACAAAAACACACACAAGGCCTAAGAAAATGGTCAATAAATGCATTAATGGTTTGGTCCCCTTAACTCAGAGAGAACTCAAAAGACGTAAATGGGAAAATTAACAGAAAGATACATTGGTCTTCTGTTACACAGAGGAAAAACAAACATGTAAAATTCAGAAAAAGGGTCAGTAATTTCACTGAAAAAATCTGTCTGGTTAATGAGAAAATTGAGAAAGGATCTAACCCGTAGCAAAAAAAAAACAAGGAAAATTGAACAAAAGGATAAAAGATTGCACTGAAATTTTCTGCTGGGATCACGAGTAATTCGATAATTACAAAAAAAAAAAAAGACGTGAACCACAAAAAAAAAAAAAAGAAAGTTCAAAAGCACAAAAGGGTAAACTAAATTCACAAAAATACTCTGTTTTGTTACTAGAAAAACGATGGGAATGTTCTTGGCCCTTACCGCTCTGGTTTCGTATAGACGGAATTTTTCGAGGGAATACGAATTGGGGTCAGATTCTGGGTCATTTGTTGGGTGTATTTTGGCGGAGGACTGGACGAAAGGAGGGAGATTTGAAGAATTGGACTTAGAATTCTCGGGCTTTGCCATTGAACACCGAGGGTTTTTGGTCTCTGAAATCAGGTGAATTGCTGATAGATTGATTTTAAGACAAGGTACTTGAATTCTGTCGTTGGTAGAAAAATTTCCAGGGAGTGCTTGGTGAAACTGCCGGGAGATTAGGTTCGACCAGAAGCTTTCTGCAATTTTACTGGACTTTTAATTTGGGGTAATTACCTTTTACCCCGTTGTGGTTTTGGCTAGTTTCACTTTACCCCCTTAACTTTTTACACGTGGATAATTGTAACTTTCAAATATCATACATTATCAAAGTAAAAAATAAAAATAATCCATTATTTAAATCTTCATCTTCAAAGAAATGGGCCTATGTCATATCTATCTAAAGCTAAATGTGTGTCCGTCACTATTTTCATAGAGAAAAATGCAATATAACACTGATAAAACTAAAAAATTAAAACTCAAATGTATATCATCCCTTAGATGAATATGAAATGAATGGACCCCATTAAAAAATTTGATGAAACTCACTTATTCAATGAATGATATGTATTTGGATTATAACTCTTTGAGTTTTATTTGAATTTTATAACATTACTCTTCCATAAATGAAATAATCGTAAACAATAAATATCACTGCATCAAGTATTCGCTACCAAACCCTCGTTAACATGCTCAAATGTACACAAACATATAGAGAAACAAAGATAATTTTTAAATTGTTGGTCCTCTCTTCTTGTGGCTAATATACATCACATACTCCTTCTGTCCAATGACAGTCCAAATTATCTGCAATTCTATTAATGCTTAACACAAATGAATTTACAAAACCTTCGAGCGTTGAAGTGGTATGCGCTTGAAGCTACCTATATTCCAATTGTTCAGGCACAACATAAGAATAATCAAAAACCATACTAAATATTTCGTCTCTAGAAACAAAGATAAAACAATCTTGATTATTGCGAAAGCGTAGGATTAAATTCACTTTAATTTTGAAATTTTTGAAGGATGTTTCATGTATTTTAAAATCTGAAAAATCGTATTTTCTTTGATTGTGCCAATAATATAATGTTGTTATACAAAACAAATCAACATTGTATTTCCACAATACAAAAATCTTTTAACGTTATGTAGGGATTAAATTCACTTTAATTTGGGTCAACCCATCATAAGCCCCCGATTTGAGTCCATCACCCAAACCCAATATCTAATAGTTATGTTCTTCTGAATTTGAACATGACAGAATTGAATGTAAGGTAATTGGCTCCCACATCTTAGTATTCATTAGCGAAAATTTCTAGCTTTAAATTTTTGATAGTCAGGAAAAACACTAAAACATTAATTCAATAATACAATTATCATTGTGCTTAGAAATACATTTTCGTAAAAAATAAAATGAAGTAGATTAGATAAAATACAAAAATACTCTTAATCTCCTCCTTGATTTATTTAAGGGGTCATAGTTAATAAATGTGTATTCTAAACATATCATGCCAAAGGTTCCAATGGCATTCACAAGAACATTCAGAGGCATTATTCGATAACTTCAATTTACAATTTTTTTTCAGCCCAAACGGTCAAGCCATTGTGAGAGCTGTAAGGGAGAAACCTTCAGCCCTCCAAACTCTACAGCAGGAGCATCAGGTAGGACAAGAACTTAGGAGGGTTGGAGGAGAAAACTATACTGTGGTCAGATCTCCCTCTAAAATGTTATCACCTGAACAACAGAGTTTTCAAACCTAAATCAAGTAATATACACACACGCACATACATGGAAATGCATTTATGCATACACACGTATAAAGAGAATGCAATCTTGTTGTAGAGCAGTCGAGTGTGTTAGACAGGTATATATACTTGATAGAAGTAAGAATATAAAAGACATGAAATTATTAAATTTTCTATTAGTTGTGGGTCTATTCATTATAGATTTGTTTTTAGAAGGAGGAAAGCCTACAATTTAAATCAGTTACATCTTGAGCAAGTTGAACAAGAATGTTGTATTTATGTACTCTGTTAAGTAAAGTGGCAAAATTGATCATATGAAAAGTCCCCGGTAAATGATCATGTGAAAAGTCATGTACAATAGGAGTGAATTATTCAATTAGAAGTGTTGCACATTTATGACCATTTAGAAATTTATGCTATATTTATTCACATGTATGCTATTTTGTGTATTTAAAAGATGTTAGGGGGTAAAAGCAAGGCCAATCCAACAGCATTAAAAAAAACATGGATTTTAGGTCCCAAATTTTTAAAAGACCTAAGAATTGGCTTTTAAAGGCAGGGCGCCACATTGGAAAACGGAGCCTAGCCTCGAAGACGGACTCGTAGAAATAAACTTCATTGAGGCCAAAAGAATTGGCGATTTCGTTAGCGGAAGGAACCCTAAGGCGCACAGATTTAGAGATTTTGATGTACAAATTTGGTGGAAGGGGGTGATTAGGGATATTGATAATCAAATAAAGGCAGATCGAGCACAGATTCAAGCCAAGCTCAAATAGACCTATCCACAAAATATTCATAATAACCAAGGTTGGAGTCCTTCCACCGACGAAAACAAAAGTGATAAAAATGAAACTAAAATGTATGACTCTAACCTATATGCTCCAAGATGAGGAGTTACAATAAAACAAAGAGACAAAAAAAGATAAAGATGAAGAAGGAAGGGCGTACCATACTTCTTAGAGCTGTCAAAGATGTGCCGGAAGGCATAGAGGGAGAAGGTTTTATACACTGGCCCCACAATGGCTCTTTGGCGATTGCATATGCACGACTGTCGTTCCTACTTTCCCAGACGCTAACAGGCATATTCATTAAATTCATAGCACGTGCAACTCACTTATATGAATTAAGGGGCAATTAATAATGATAAATTAGACACAAGCTCATCACACGAGCTTAGCTCCGAGGATGAGCTCCATGGCTAGAAAAGAACCTTAGCTCCTTGGTCGCCAGCATCCCAACTCAAATTCACCCTAGCTCCGCACATCTTGACTAATTCAAACCAGTCGAGATATCCACGCTAACATGTACCACATCTGTTACACTTTTGGTGCCCGCATCATTCAAATAAGCAAGTAAGGATTTTCAACGGTCCAATCTCTTGACCTATAAAAAGTCCAAGCTAAATATGATCCAAGTAAGTTTACTTCTCTGAGCTAAACATAGTTTTCTTCATTCATTCCTTTTTGAATTTATCATCGGAAAGTCAACCACCAGAGTCCCTCCGGTCCTCGACTTCTTTTGTAGAAACCCTCTCGCCGATCACCAAGTCACAACTCTGGCTATCTGCCATGGTGAACAATTTTGGGATTAACAAATCTTATCATCAAAAAAAAAATGCATCCAATGGTAATATACCAAATTTAGGCAGCCATGCATGCTTCCTGGGCATCCACATTGAATCTCTCGAATCGTTTTTTTGCAGCTGAGAAGATAGTAGGAAACCTATTCATCCCATCTATTTTACAAAATCAAAGCACAAATAGATCTATACTAGTACAACTTCATAAAAAAAAATCAAGGTTTAGTTATTTAAACATGGTATACAATGGCAAATGTGGCAACAGATCTAACCATATACAAAACAAAATATGTCGACTAGGTGATATTTCAAACAGTAGAAGGGGTGTCCCTCGAATTAAATAACTTGTACGAGTGTTATTACAATTCAACCTTATAATTACCTTCAAGTGTAACTAAATTAAATCAACCTCTCCATTAATATAGTTATGGGCGTACATGTAATTTACAGTTAGGAAGTTGAATTTTCTACTTATAAAAGTATAATAGTCAAAATTTATTCAATTTTCATTTAAAATTCATCCTAATTTTTTTTTCCACACAAAATATCTTATGTGCACAACTCCCAATGTCAGACAACAATCAACAAATTCTCCAATGTCAGACAATTCCATTAATCTGCACCTACCTCACTCTATTCTCTTTAATGTTAATTGTGTAATCTAAGAAAAGGAAAGTAAAAGTAAAAGTAAATTGTTATTTAAAATATAAATATTGAACGATTAATGTTCTGTTTTTGTATTGCAGAGTGTATTTAGGTATAAGGTTATTATTGGTAATATGATATTAGATGCGATTGATATTTTAAAAAATAACAAGGATGTCTTCAAATTTATATAATTAAAATTTTCACAAATTTTACTTTGTTGGTTGGATGCCGTGGAAGTGAATAACAGCTTGGGCACCTTGAATTTCATAACTAATGCACATGTGATGGGCTATTTGAAGTCCTTCCAAGCCTGCCCTACGGAAGTTTGCATGATTAGCTTTTAAACCAGTGACCCAATGCAGGGGCTGGACTTCTGTTGAAGGATCCTGTTTATGGCTGTTAATCAAACTGAGCTACTCGAGCTTGACTTGAGTTCGATTCATTCAGGTTTGGTTCGTTTTTTAAACGAGCCCGATCTTGAACAAGTTTTTAGGCTTGTTTAGAAAACAAGTCATATAAACTTGGCTCAAACTTGACAAGCTTGACTCGTTTATGTGCAAATACACAGGCTCGGCTCAGACTCGACTCATTAAGGCTCAGCTTGTTTAGGAAACGAACCGCACTTGAACAATTTTTAAAGCGTAATTAAGAAACAAGCTTTTCAAGCTTGGGTCGAACTCGTTCGACTAACAGCCCTATCCCTGTGTAAGACTAATACATTTGATCAATGGTTGGTTTCGAACCCACATTGATTTTATGTTGAGCTAGGAAAATAGAAATGTCTGCATTGGGAAATTTCGATGGCTTCGAATTGAAAGGGGGGTGTTTAACCAGTGTTCCATGAATTGGCTCGAGTCGGATACAACACCACACTTTTCGCTTTGAGAATGATACATGTTTTATGTAAATCATGAGCCTTACTTGACTGGTTAACTCAGAGTTGTCTTTAATTTGTTGGCAAGTGATTCAATTGCATCATTGTGATGTATTGCCTAGTGCTAATACAGTCATGTCACGTCATGATATAACATAAATATCTTGTCATGTTTATCTTTTATTTAACATTTCTTGCGTATCGTTCATTATATTTATCGCTCTCGAACCATATGCATAACTTTATTTAGTTTGCAACAAAAAATTGGTGACTTTAGAACATAAAAGGCGTCGAATGAAAAAAAAAGTAATGAAAAAATGATTTTAGGTGATAATTAATAGAGCTTGAGCCGATTCAAATAGACATTTAATTGGTTAACTAAATAAATTTTAAGGTGGGGATAAAAAGTAATATGGCTTTGTTTGTTTGGGGGGAGAGAGAGAGAGAGAGAGAGAGAGGGTATGTTGGTCGGGGGACCATCAAAAGGAATATGTGGGTGTGATAAGCTCATTATCCAGTTGTGCCAGCTTCGTTTTTTTTGAGGAATGAAAGACAACTCTGCAGAATTATAATAGTAACCAAGTAAGAAAATTCGACCAAGGGTAATGGCCGAAACTTCAATATGTTCCAACTGGATAACTTCGCCAGCATTATTGACTCGTCCCCAGTTCAATCTGAGCGCGCGGAACAGTACTGGAGAACAGCAGAGACGGCGGAAATTCAGAATTTGTGCAGCAAAATCTGGGGGATTCTCACCTAAAACTGTATGTTCTCTGACTTCGATCTGTTTTAAGTTTTCGAATTTGACTGTTGTGATCCGATTATCAGCAAGATTAAATATGAGATATCTGTTGCACAAGATTGATAATTCTCTTCGCTTTCGTGTGTTTCATAATTTAATTTTGCCGTGTTGAATGATAACGTGCAGGCCACAAAAAGTTGTCAAACGTGTGGCGGCAAAGGTGCTATAGAGTGTCCTGGATGTAAGGTATTGTCATTTATCTCTCGAGTAATATTATTAGAACATAACTTAGGGATTTAATGATTATGACCGTTAGATTGTCAATAAGTCTCAATATTAAGTTATCAAGAATAATATAATTTTTGATTTGTTTTAATTCAAACATATTTTTTGACGGAACATAAGCATTCACTTTTGGGTTTTTTTTACTTTTTTTTTGCTTGGAAAACATAAAATCAATTCAGGATATAGTTATTGAATGGTGCCTAAACTACTAGCTATCAAGCATTAGAATGTTTACATTAATGTCGATTATATAATTACTAAGATGAGTTTTTTGCTGCATCAGGGAACAGGGAAGAATAAAAAGAATGGGAATATCTTCGAGCGTTGGAAGTAAGTTTTCCACTTCTTACAAGGAAAACAATTTAAATGTATTTTCTAAATGTGAAGAAATTTTTGTATTTTTTGTTTCTCACTCTGAATTAATTCGATTTGAATAATTGTAGATGTTTTGATTGTCAAGGATTTGGATTAAAAAGCTGTCCCAAATGTGGAAAGGGAGGGTTGACACCAGAACAAAGAGGAGAAAGATAATGTACATATTTGAAACGGCTTTGAATTTGTATTTAAATACACAGTTATTTATCTCAAAGTTCTATAATAATGTAAATGCATTTCTGCGAATTGATTGGCCCCATTATAATCACACTCTCTTTACGTGAGTTAACTAGGGTTTCTTTTTCCCTAGTGAAGTGAGATTCAAATGACTACTTTTGTTAGTCAATTCAATAAACCATCTTCGACCGAACTATTTAAGGCAAAATAATTTTTTTTGGATCAAGTAACAACGCCTCATGAAGAGAGACTTCTCCAAGATTGACATTAATGGTCGTGAAGAGTTACTTGCTAGGGATTACACTCTAAAATTTCATAAAAAAAATGGTTTTTCC